ATGCTCCGGGTGACGCCTCTAGGTGGACATCCTACGGAACGCTCGCTGGAAGATGCTACAGGTCAATGGCCAGGCGGGTTTGTCTCGCGCAAATATTCTTTTGCGAAGGTGCTTTTACGACTACAGGATGAAATACCGCGTAGAAATTCAGGTGGATGTTGTTCTCTTCAAAAGTCAGTTCGAGTAGGTAACACCGCATTAGACTCAATTTCCTTGATATTCAAATATTTGTAAGAGGAACGTTCAAATTTAAATTATAATGTACGTTATATGCCCGATTTACCGTCTGTGTAAAGGTTATGTGTACAGGGCAGTTATAGTATATTTAATGGGCAAACGTGTGAAAAAGCGCTTGTTTCGAACAGTTTTGCTAGTTTTTCATCTTTGACAAAATAAAACTAGTAAATGGAGGAGCTCAAAGTTTAATGACTATTTGGTTCTTCTGCTGTATCTGTTGTATGGACCCATTTAAAAAGCAAATATAAGTCGACGTGATGCATTTATTTCTTTTGTGACATGATGTAATTAGCTCGAAAACAACAATTTTCTAAAGGTTTAAATCTGATTAATTATTATTGCACTGCTTATTAAATTTGTACCTAGTTCTAAAATGAACAAAATTGCTGCATAATACGCTGTATAACATACATTTTCATATTTTCTCACCGTTTCAGGACCCCGTTACTGTCTGTCAGTCGTCTCTGTCGATTTTTATTAGACGGATAATTTACAAAATTACCGAACCGATTGTTTTTAAATTATATGTATGTTATGAAGGGTGCTGACACCACGGAGTAATCCATAAGCGTGCAGGACTTGGGTGCAAATATCAAGGTCGGGGATTTACGTTGACGACTATTCACTAAACGAGTGAAGTACCTAAAACTCTCTTGCGGTATTTATATTTTTATAGCAGAAGAAATTAAGTGATATCGTTTGTGCTGTCTGCCAACTAAATAAAGCAAATGACCTCGCTTAATCGTTGAGTAATGTACTGGCGATCCAAGAAATCACTTGCCTACATATCGGTACGGTTTTTTGAGGTCCATATAAACTATTTTCAACTTTACAAAGTTTTTCTTTTTCAAATGGAATATCATATGTTTTTTAACATTTTTTCATTGATTTCTTCTTACGCTTTCTGAACACAGTTTAATTGTCAAATCCAAATGCTCCGTTGCCAGGTTATTCTAATTTTCTTGATTTTTTTTTAGATATGCAGGGTTTCACAAAAAAATGGTAACAGAGTTATTTTTGTAACGTGTGTTACAATACTTTGTGGAGACATAAATAAAACTACCCACATTGTTATAGTATAAATAAATAGGATCGTAATATAGTGTTTATATAAAAAAAAATAAATTATAACAAGTTCCAAAAAACGATATTTCAGTTTCTTCAAACTTTCAAAATTTTCTCAAATATTATCTATGTTTATACTTGTTGGTTGTTGCGATTTTTTACTTTTTTAACGAACACACTAACATATTGAAAGAAAGAACAAAAAATAGAGTAACAAGCAGTATTAAAATACAGGGTGTTGTATTTGACAAAAACTAAAAAAATTGATATTTTCACTGTATATTAAAACTTGTTTTAAATTGATAGCTAAACAAGGTGCATACTTCTGTTTATCTCTTCATTAATTATTGGAATACATATCTTTAAAATCACATTATTGCAAATTTTTTTTCTGATCCCTTACATTGTTAAAAAAATGAAGAAATTTGACATAATGTGGCAACCTCGCATTGAAATTTTAAAAGTAATCTATGGTTATGAACCCTAGGAAGAGGGTAATAAGAATACGTAAACATATATAGGGTATTCTATTAAAAGTACTAAAATGTGTGCTGTGCAAAATCAAATCACTCGAAAATAGGTATTGTACAATTTCGATGTGACTTTTTTTCTACCTCTAATAATTAATGAGAATATTGAGGACCGCCCGCTTAGTGACTCACGTTATGTATTTAAAATATTGGAAATTCTTGTTGTTGTAAAGTTATTTTTTTAATTTTGTTTACATAAATACTCACACTATGAAACACGAAAAATTAGCCTAAAACTATCTGGACAAACTTTTTCTCGTCCGTGAAGGACAATACCTTAAATAAGTCTAGTTTCTGGGGCCGCAAATTATTTTAATGCCTTTTGTACCCCATCTCTTATGTTGTTTTAATTAAATTTGCTTAATTTTGTACTGTACATCGACTAATTGTTTACAAAGTAAATCGTATTATTAGTATTAAACACGTAAGCAGTGTAACCGAAAAAAGAAAATTATCACCAAGAGAACCCGCACAATTTGCGTGCAGAAATCTAAATGTTATCATCTTGCTATATCTAAAAACGCATTCTGAGCGTATTTTGAAGTAAAACGAAGTAATCGTCTTCTGAAAAATTTGATCCAAAGGATTTGCTACCTTTTGACAACTCCTCAATTTTAGTCATGGAGAAATTCGATTTATCGGACTTTGTGTGACTCATGGAATATGAAAAAAAAGGTTGTAATATCCAAAACTGCTACATAAATTATTGTGAGCCTTTGTACTTACATTACAAATGTCCTCTAGATACTTAAACGCAAACCAAAATTTACCTGCTCATCCTCAATTTGATGTCGTCATCTTAAAATTTTTGCTAGACAAATCCTATTAAAAATATACCAAATTATGTTATTCTATACCTATTATTTATTTATTCCAGCTCTATTTGTAACTTTATCTATGCAAGTTCTTGCGAAAAAATTCAAAATTGTATCACAAAATTTGATCATTTAATTTTAAATTTTGCAAAAATCTGTGTACACAATACTGTTGGCTCAGATTTGGAGTATACATAGCATAAAAAAATATTTTTTTAGGAATGATAATATTAGTGATGAGAATAACATAATATTAATTCTCATCATCTTGTTCGTCTTTACTCGATGGAATCTTTTGACAACGAACTTCTCAATTAAGAAGGTAACGCGGGGAAATCCTGTCTGCTTATGATAGGACTGATGCAATGATCTGATTTCCGATGGTTACTGGTTCAAGTTTGGTTCAAACCAAAATACAATTGTTATATAATATGTTATCTATGTACATACCTACATATACATAATATAAGACTGTTTATTTATTCCAGATATTTTATTTGTTTTTAATAACCTGAAATTATGGTAACTCGAACTCTTTTTCACAGTACGTCGTATTTCGAGTAACTGAAGTTCGACTATACCTCAAAATCATGAAAACCACTGTGTGGAAAAATAGATGGCTAACACATTGTCAAGGGGTGATGGTTTAAAAAATGTTGTTTGAATTTGTTTTTAAGTAAGTACCTGTTTCGTGAACTAAGCTAAATAATATATATATATATAATTAACTGAAAACCAACTTTTTGCCATGTTATTTTTTCTTACCCTTTTGAAATTCCAGTGAGTTAATTAAGTTACTTTACCGAAACAGTTACTGTACTTTAAATGATTTTAGAGACAATTGTCTGAATTTTGTACGAGTTTTTGAGAATACAGCTATGGTAATTTCTTCAACCAGTTCCTATCACCTATACAGGAAGAAAGTATATAATATAATTCTTTGAAAATTACGAAAGTTTAAAGCATTTTCTTCTAGTGCCCCTTTAAGGAAAAAAACACTTTGACCGTATGCCGGTGTCCCATAGGAACCAAAAAAGAAGTCAGGTTTTACAGCCTTGTCTTGTGAAATCTGGTCGTTTCCATTGCAGTTTCTCAACAAGTCAGCTCACGTGAAAATTATGTGTCAATTTAGAATTCAAGTATACATTTAAATGTTTTCCGGTAACAAAAGGGTTAATTTGTCAGATATTCTTTATGGCTAACATTTTTTAACATAGTGTGGTTTATAATTTTTAGAGATTTATTTATTACATTTTTCATTAAATGACGAGTTCTTAGTTTTAATGTTTATTTTAAAAATAAAAAAGTAATAACTGGAGCGTCAGTAGAAAAAAACAGGACGACTTGATGAATAATTTTGTACTTTTTGATTTACGAAAACCATTAACCACAACCAGTTTTTTAGATTAATTCGTTTCTCATTTGCGTGCAAATTTGATCTAAAATTTATATTCTTCAGGATTGACCTTTACATACAATTTGTAAGACATATTGTGGTGTCAGATTGTTTTCGAGTATAAAAATAGTTAAATGAAATAATTAGTGTCACCATAATGTATAATCACTATGAATTCGTGTTTTCATTTCTAATGATATAATTATGTAAACACAACCTATTGATATATGCGAATGAAATTCTTCGTGAAACTATCCAGAACGTAATTAAGCTCATTTAATTAAACTGACAGGGAACTAATACAGCGTATCCCCATAAATTGAAGTTTCGTGTATAGCAACATGACTATAATGATATAGAAACATTCCTAGCTCGACTGCCGTATCGAAACTTTTAATCTCTTGGCTAAGTGCAGAACTTTTAAGGGTTTTTATAATATAGTCACTGTTTTATAGCTAAATCAATTTTGCGCATGGATGGATTTCGATTGAAATTTTATATATTTCCCATGCTGGGAAAAATGTAAATTATTTCATCTCGATTCTCCTAGCATGATGTCGTTATTATAAGATTGTAATCGTCTTGTATGTAACACATCATAAATATTCAAACTAGTAACAATGTTTCGCAGTGCAAATTTTTGTCCGATAGATGTACATACATTCATTCAACCTGATTACAGTTGGTACAATGGTGAATGACTGACGATGCAAGGTGAAAAGGACATGTGAAAAATAATGTTTTTATTTTAATGTGGCTGTAACAGTCGCAAAAGCGTAACCAATAACATGTTACGGGAACTTGGCACTTGCAGTTGATTAACATCTTATGGAAAACTTACAATAGCGGCCTGCTGCTCTACAAGTAATGTCCCTTTGTGTTATAGTACCTTTGGTTATGTTCTCATAAACATATTATATTACTGCAAAGTATTTTAATTTTATTTTTTATTTTCAGAACTTGGATTCGTGCAAGGGTTATAGTTACTGCACATAAGGTAAGTTTTTTTACTGACTTAATCTAATTGCATTCATTAATATACAAAATTAAATCATTAGTATAAATCGACTTGGATTTGTTGAAAGATACGCCTTGTTTTCAGTTCCATGTGGTAATGTTGCTACTAATAACGCGTTTAGATTTATCTAATAAAGCGTGCCGGTGTGAAATATGTTTTCTGTCTGAATTGTATCAAGCAAAAGTCGTAAAATCGACTCTATTCCACACGTATATTGCTTGTATAATTGTGAATAAATCATAACTTTTACGAGGCCACTTATTGGTTTTCCTCGTAAATGTTATTGGTGTGTTTACCTTCATTACAATATGAATGTTTCGCTACATGGAAATGTTTTGTTATGGAAATTCATAGAGAAAATTACGCCGGCATCTGTTAATTCATACGGTCTTCAGATCTCTCATCCTTAATTAAAATACGTTAATTTTCATATTAGCCTTTTTTTAATATTTACCTTAGTTCATAAAATCATCGCCTGTAATATATGTAATCTCAAGAATATATGTTATCGATGATTGATGAAATTGAGAACCGAAGTAATTAAATTATTTTTGTGTTATTATGATTAGATTTTAATCAGTGTATCTAAGAAAATTATCTACAATTATTATTTGATGTCAGAGATTATTTTCGGTTAAAAATTTTAATGTGTCATTGCTTCTAAACTTTTCCCAATTATATTACATTACGTCGGTCTCATTGTATTGTAAAAGTTTTGGTCATACAATTTTAGTTGGTCCAAATTTTTCTGGAAGTTTCCATCTTTTTTGAACCAAATAAATGTATTGTTACACACGAAGAGGCAGTTTATGTTTAAAGTGTTTCATATTTAATTTATTAAGAGTTAATGTTAAAATATTTAATATTTCTCAATTTTCCCGATGAGCTGTATTTGTACAATCATCTACTTTGTGGAAATCTTAAAACGAAACAGTTGTATATTTGGAGATGTCATAAATTAAATCCCCACTATACTTTTAGGAGTCAAAATATTTTACTGTGTTGGAACCACCTTAACACTTTAAGTACCGCCGTCCAGTTTCTTGCACATAGTGGTTTTTACTCACAGACCGCATCCAGTTTACTGGATGCAAATTTATATTTAATTCTAAAGGAACGGTTGTTTGTACAGTCTGGGAGATTGTTCCATGATTTTCTATCGGTTCAAAAGTGTAATTCAACATTTGCAGATTTCTGTAAAAAAAATATATATATATTTTGCATAGATGGCGATACAGATGCTTCCCATACCCACTTGTAAATGGCCAGATTTCTGTAAAAAAACGATAAAATGCGATAAAATGCCATCTGTGTAGCATAGTGTGCCTTTACTTTCGGATATACTCGAAAATAACCACATAAGTGACAGAAAAACTTCGAAATTTATCAAAAAAACACGTCAACTTAACTGGACATCGGTTCCAAAATATAAATTGTGTTACCACAAACCGGGTAAAAAAGCTGCGGTCCAAAATGAAAAACTAACAAACATGGTGCGGTACTTAAAGTGTTTTAAGCTTTTATCAGTGCATATTAGTAGCTTTCAGCGTGTTGCCATGGGAAAGCTAGACGGCGAATCTTAGGACCCAATAACACTTATTTTAATTTATTTATCGAACTAGTTAATGTGCCAAAATGAAAACAAATGAATTCTTTTTATCTACGTCACTTAAAGAGTCACATGGTATCTCAAGGTAAGGTCACAAAAAAATTCTGAGAAATAGTTATAGTTCCACCAAAGATTTAAACATGTTTGTGAGACGTAAATTATAGGAACACCTGGGGATTTTATGATGAAGTTTGTTGATTCAAACATCGATGTGGGTTATTTGCGTAGTCTCCTGTTGAATTTTTGTTTGTTTTAAATATAGATATTTATGAAGGTTGTCGCAAATGCATTATTGACAACCTTAAATTTGTACCGTTATTAAGATGTTTTATTCTAATGTATGCTTTTTCTTTTGATGAATAAGGAAACCCAAGCCAGTTTATTACTGTATTATATCATGGTTAAATAAATAACGTTTAAAATATGTAAATAACTTTAGTTTTGCATTTATCAATCATTCGAATTATTACCTCCGATTAGGAAAATGAAGACGTTTTGCATCAGTTTTATTTTTGGTACCCACTTATTGGTGACGTATGTTGGAGATTATGAAATTGGAAGTTAGTGATAAAAGAATGATCGTTTAAGAACAAACTATATTAAAAATTTGTAATGCGTAGTTATTAAGGAGTACTTATATCGTGTATATCTGAATAGTTTTTGTCCAACTCTATTTTTTCGTTTAATTATTATGTTTAAAAAAAAATCAAGGTTAGCAGTTTTTCAAAACGTCCATAATTTAGAGTGTTATTAAAAAAGATAATAAAAATGAAGAATAATTAAGTTTTTTTAAAAGGAAATACAAGGTGACTGCGAAATACATGCAAAAAAAAAATGGGGAATAGCTCACAATATGATTATGTCACTGGGTAAAATTCACGGTCCTAAGTAGTAGCAGTGTCTAGAAAAAATTATTTGAAATTCAATGTAAATTGTTGTACGCGCCGCTGGACTGTTTTGTGACCTACATAATTACTACAATGAATGGAACAGAGCGAGTCGGTTAAAGAACCAAAAAAGTTACTTTATCAGGCACTTTTTTAATCGCAACGTGAAAAACACGAAAAGGGCCAGTTAGCATCGAGCGGTCGGTGAAATCGGTTTATGGTGCAGTTTTCCCATGCAGATTGTGTCGATATGGTAATGCGTGCATCAGTGGTACAGCATCTCCGAGATCATGGTACCTTCAACCTCAAACTCACGATCGTGGCCGTGATAGGACAGAAAGAAGAAGTTGGATTTTCACAGCTTGTAGTGCATCCTACATTAAAAGAATACGGCCACATCCATACCATGTTGACAAAGTACAGGGTTTGGAGCCCGCTGATTGTCCACCTTGTGTAACTCACTTTTTGTCCGATGGAACTCCACGTAGTCGTCAACAAGTACGATTTCAAGAGACGGTTTTCGATAAATGTGTATCAGTTGGATGAAACAGTTCGTTTGTGGAAATCAACAGTGTCCAGAAATTATCGAAGAGCTTCAACAAGTGAAAGTGACACCCGCTACTCCGGTGTTTTTTTACCTATCAACAAACCTCTTGCGACGCTCTGACGCCTGTATTGCTAGTCAAGGACAACATTTTCAACATTTCTTGTAAAAAGGTAGTAGCATTCTAAGTTGCTCTTATTTCTGTTCCAATAAACAACGTAAAATCGTTGTGACAAGGACCAAACATCCGTCAGAATCAAAATTACCAAAAAACTTTCACACTGACCTTTAACGATGAATGAGTAAATGAATGAACGAATGATAAGCAGCAAAAAGTCGGTTTTACTTTTAATTGAAACTGAAAGTGTTTAGGTCGTTTTTATTCAAACGTTTTTCCAACTCTGTTTACAAGGTGGCTCAGTGCCTTCGTATCGAGGGTGGTTCATGGGGGTTTTGCCCCATTCGATTTTTAATTTCTTTTTTCTATATTTCGGCTCTACTAGGGTGGGGGATGCCGTGGTTAAAATATTTGCACTTATTTCGCAGTCACCCTGTATTGTAAATCGTTTGGAAAACAAAGTGTTACTGCAGTTTCAAAAACATTTGTTAAACTTCCCTCAAATTCAAAACATTTTTGACCGATTTTTCTAATCAGCTTTCAAGAATTGCTATTATCCAAAGATTCCACCGAATTCAGTTGGTCTCCTTGCTGCTGATTTCCTTTTAGATAGTGTTCATAGATATGAAAAGCTCATGGTCCAGTACCGTTCAGTATTCATACAGTTAGACCAATTCATAAAAATAAGACAGATTTGACATAGGTAGAGTTTGAAAGATTGACATGTTCAGTCACAAGCTGCGCATAAGAGTAGGTGGCGAAGGTCGTCAGTGGCGTAGATATATTTTGTTGTCTAAGGATTTTTTTCGTCAGATTTTATAATTTAGTATTTCTAAAAACTTTCAAAACTTGTAAAACAAATACTGAAACAAAAAAAAATCACAAAGCGGTAGTGAAATACGTGAAACACAAAACAAAATGCCCACGTGGCACTGAGAGACTGCCTTCCGTTCTTTTTGAAAATGAACTCGTCCGGTACCAATGACGTTCTTTGCGCACTTTTATAGGTGTGCTATTCTTATAGCCTCCAAACTCCAACTACCAGCCTATAATTATAATTACCTAATTATCTAATAATAATTTGTACACACTTCGGCATCCTTGTCACATTTGATTGTTTTTCTGCTAACACATTTCTTCTGTTATAAAAAGTCAAACAAGATTTCTTTTATGCAAAAGTTTTGCCAATTTTACTGCTGCAGTTATCACCGAATTAGATCAGACATATACAGTACGGTTGATTTTAGACTTCGCAAACAGTGTCTGAGCTGCAATTCTGAAACGTGACATTAATTTATTGCAGGACGTTTCACCGTCGTGTCTTCAGCAGGATAACATTTTGGTCGAATCGTTTTAAATATCAGTAAAGGTCTGCATAACACATTTGTCTATGCTGTCTAATAGCCGTCAATAAAGCGACGTCATTGCAGTATATTAGGGACGAAGTAACCAACTTACGTAATTTATAGCACGCTTTTTCAGTTGCGCGAGTCATTCCTGGAAAGGACTTTGCATGTCGGTGATAAATGTCAAAAATGACAAATATAAAAGCAAAAATGGAAGACACTTTTAATAAGATTTTCAACAAAATAAGTTTGAAGTTACTAGGAAATCGGTACATTGAGATTTAAAAAACGTAAAAAAGGTTTTCCCCAACAGCCAGTCATCAAATGTGTCTAAAAAAATACTGACAATAGTCGGTCTTAGCTGGAAAATCGGGTTTATGTAATTCTTGCACACATATTACTCTTTCGCAATATTGTTTGGCAGGTTCCATGAGATACTTCGATTTGGTGCGATAAATGTCGTATGGGTGCTCCA